AGATGCAGGATTCAAAACACTGGTGATCAGGATGCTCAAAGAACAATGAGTACAACAACAACAGAAAGGAAGAAATGAAGGCTACACTCAGTAAAATAAAGAAAAATCCGCAGGGGACAAAAAGTGAAGGGAAGGAAATCGGAGTCAAATCAAAGATTTAGATCATAAGGAAGAAAGATGCAAAAAAGCATTGAAGCCGGACATAAAGAAGAAAAAATAATTTAAAAAATGAGAATGGTATAAGGAGCCCCTGGGGCACCTCTAAATGTATCAACATCCAAATTATAGGGGTGCCGGAAGTAGAAGAGGAAGAGCATGAAATTTAAAACTTATTTGAAAAAAATAATGAAACAAAACTTTCCTAACTTGGAGAAGGAGATAAATATATAAGTCCAGGAAGCACAGAGATTCCCAAACAACTTGGACCCAAAGAGGACCACGCCAAGAAATATCATTATCAAAATGTCAAAGGTTAAAGATACAGAATCATAAAAGCAGCAAGAGAAAAGCAGAGAGTTACCTAAAAAGCAGTTCCCATAAGACTGTCAGATAATTTCTCAAAAGAAACTATGCAGGCAAGAAGGGACTAGGAAGAAGTATTCACATTGATAAAAAGCAGGGACCTACAGCCAAGATTGCTCTATCCAGCAAAGCTATTGTTTAGAATGGAAGGGTGACTAAAGTACTTCCCAGACAAGGTAAAGCTAAAAGAGTTCATCATTATTAAGCAAGTAATATTTTCTTTATTTATGTATTCAGAGAGAGGGAATGGAAGAAAGAGAAACATCAGTGGGTGGTTGCCTCTCCCATGCCCCCTACTGGGGACCTGGCCTGGAATCCAGACATGTGCCCTGACTGGGAATTGAACTAGCAGTTCTTTGGTTTGTAGGCCGGCATTCAATCCACTGAGCCACACCAGCCAGGGCTATTAGCATTACAAAAAATGTTAAAGGGACTTATTTAAGAAAAAGATAAAATCTATGAACATTAAAATGGCAACATATTTACAACTATCAACAACTGAATCTAAAACAAACAAACTAGTTAACTAAAGAAACAAACAGCCAGAACAGGAATAGAATCATGGGTATTGTCATCATTTGAAGGGTTATCAGCTGGGAAGGAGAAGGTGGAGAATGGGGGCAAAGAGACAGAGATTAATAAGCATAATTGGTATGTACAAAATAAATAGCAGGATGTTAAGAATAGTATAGAAAATGAAGACGAAGAACTTACATGCATGACCCAAGGACATAAGCTAAGGAAGGGATTGCTAGAAGGAGAGGGGTTACCTGAGGGGAGAGGGCAAGGGGGGGGAAATTGGGACAACTATAATAGCATAATCAATAAAATATATTTTAAAATGTAAAAATGAAATGGGTAAACTATGCAGCCTTTTCAATTTATTCTTTAAAAAAAGTAAACAGAAAATAGTTTCTATCTAACTAAAGTACTTCTTTTGTAAAATTACTTTTCCTGCCTGCCTGTCATTTTTCTGTTAGGATCTTAGCGTTTTTCTTATCCAGCTGTATGATCTCTTGTTTAAGAATTTAAGTCATCATTTATCCACAGCACATAGTCTTGCTTCTCCAATGTAATATCTGAGAATTTCTTCCCCAGAGTTACAATCACTTGGCTTTGGTAGGATGGAGATGATGTTATATTGACACACTTCATATATATATTGATTAATTCTGTGTAAGGTCTGGCTGAAGTAATTTCATTTGACTCTCCTGTGGGCCTAGAAAGCTTCTGTTATCATGTATTAATCTACCAAAAGACAAACCAAAATAGCCTTAAAACAAAAACCAACAATTTTTGTTTGCAAGGCTGGGAGGGCTAAACTATTTTAAGCTTGGATAATAATGACCTTGTTACAGCCCCATGCAGTCGCTTACAGACCTCCAGGTGCTAGAAGCTACTAGAGACACAGATGTCCCCTGCGTTGAATCATAGTTCACATACATTAGATTAGCTGCTATTTTTAACCTATTTTTGGTTTCTATGTCTAAATTACCTCTGAGGCTTGCAAGCATTTCCAATTTGTACCTCTGCAAGTATTTATTGATTAAGGAAAGAACGTGTACTTTATACCATCTGGTGTTGAGGTGCTAAAGCTATTTTAAGGGTTACTTAGAGGATTCAGATAACTTAGAGGATTTATCTTAATTCAGATATTTTTAGAAAAGAAACTTCAGGTTTAATTTTCTTAATAACATATTAATGCAAAGTATGTTCTGATTACTAAATCCTTTCATGAATATGATTTTTTAAAATATCCCACTGGCTATTTTGCATTTATATAAATTGGTCTGAATGTAATTATTTATTTAGCTACATTATAAATGGAAATATTTAGTATGCAAATATTATGACTCACAAAAATATCAATTTTTCTGTTGTAATGACAATTTATCATATTACTTTAATTATGATATTACTAAGAGTAATAGCCTACACCTTTTCTCCCAAAACATATGATCTGCCAGATACTGACCAAAGTGAATACATTTATTCTCTCACTTTGTTTTCACAAAACCTATGAGATAGAATTCTTATCTGGCAACTGAAACAAAAAATGATTAACTAAGTTACCCGAGGGAATTTATTTATGTCATCTTAAAACAAATCACAGAAAATAGCCCAAAATCTGAAACAAGGATTCAGAAAAGATAGACATACAAGTGATGAATTTTACATGATTTCTTATTTTGATTAAACTTTATTAAAGTGACAAATTATCATTCTGATAATATGCATGATGATTTAAATTCTTTAGGTATACATTTTAGTGGATTGTATGTGTGTACGTGTGGGCCTATATGTATATACTAATTTTTAGGACAACACCCTTATTATAACTGTTCAAATTAAGAGGACTGGACAAAATATTACTTATACACCCATTAATGGGAATTCTGAGTCCCGGAACCAGGTATGAAGCAAATCCTTTTTGGCAATGGCTGCAGCATGAAGTTTTTTGCCTTCTTAAGCACAATCCTACCTGAGGGTGCAAAACTGTGCACACTCATCTGATAGGATGTTTATACTTTATTAGGAGACGGCATCATCTTTATTATCACTAAAATTCAATCAGGTGCATTTGTCAACAATTAATTATTATTTATTTATTATTTATTGAGTTGGATTTGTAGTGTTTGAAATTAACACATTGCAAAGTTTTCTTATTAATAGAGATATCTGTGCTGTTAATAACAATTACAGTAAAATGCTGACTATTTACAAATTGTCACTTATGTTTATACTGTGAAGAAGAAAAATTAATTCAAGAATGATCCCCATCTCAAGAAACTCACAGTCTAGGAAAAGAGGAAGGTTGACTTCCTTTGAAAGGTCAAGCAGTAAAAGTTTTAAGCTTTGCAGACCTTACATTCTCTTTAACAACTATTCATCTATGTGGTAACAGCACTAAAGAAGCCATAAACAAGTAATGAGTGTGGCTGATTCTGATAACACTGCATTTAAAAAAGTAAGTTGCGGGCTAGATTTGGTCTATGGGCCATAGTTCATCAACTCCTAACCTGAATGCTGATATAAAAGAAATAGTGGGGAACTTAACATATATATCAATAATTCAATGCCATTAATAAGTGTGTTATAATTATATTTTATATAATTTATATAATTAATAAATGTGTGATAATTATATTAATAAGTATAATTATAAGCAAATATATCGATATACCAAAGTACTTCACAGATGCTTTATCTACTTTGTAATTACTTTCACATTTTGATGTGCTGTAACTTTGTCTTTCCGTATCTTTATAGTGACATTAGTTTCTTGGCATATTCTTTAAAATATAAATTATGAACTGGAAATGAGTATTGTTGTAGCAATTTCTGTTTATTAGGATGCCCATTTTGGTGACAACTGAATGTCATCTAGCAGCACTAAAAATTGAAATACCATTAAGGGTTCAGAGAAAATACATGGACCGTAACCAACTTTGTATTTGAAAAAGATACATTGGAATTTGATTTAGAAATACTTGTCTAACTTACCTAGCATTATATTTTATTTCCTTCTCTTTATTTAATCCGAAATAGAGTAGATACATGTCAAAGGACTAAATTTCAAAGTAGATTTTAGACATAAGCCCAAACTTGCTTGTCTATTACTAAGTTCATTCTACAGTTGTCTTGAAATAACTATAAATGGTATTCATAAAATATACTGAAAACTGAATGCATTGAGGCACTAAATAACTTCTATATTATATTCTACCATCAGCTGATGTGGTTTCCAATAATAAAGAACATTTTATTAGACAACTTACTTGGTGTTTTCTGGGTCTTTTTTTATGATGAATATGTGAAAAATTTAAAGGAATCTCGAATGTTTCAGCATCCAGAAAGTGCACGTATTATATATAGCTTATTTTTTTTAACATAGCAATAGCTCTGCAAATATATATTGGGAGATGCCTTTTTAAAATCTGAAAATATAAATTTTAAATTGATAGCCTTCATTAAGTGATTGAAGTCACATAAGCAGAGCATTTTCACTAGGCTATAATAAATAATGCCACTGGCATAAGAAATCAGTGGGTCAAAAGAGGGAGACATTATTCTCCGTCTCAAATTTGTAGGCTCTAGCAAAACATGTATTTAAAGGACTGTTTAAAATGTCTTCTGAATACAAAATTTGCAGGAAATTTGAGGAGATACGTATTTAAATGGGCTTACATTTTTGTATGTATATATTAATTGCATAAGCAAATGTATTGCTCATTATATCCCACTAATCATTTTAAGTAAAATTTAAAAAATAACTATTTAGTACGGCTCTGTATTTCTCAATTCCATAAAATGCTTCTTAATTTGAAAGGCACTGTGGAAAACATTAATTGTATGCATTTGGAGATTTGTGTTTTTGAAAAGCCAAGCAGACTCCTGTCTAAGTTCAGAGTGTCTTTATGCTGTATTAAGGGAGTGGGACCTCTTCCTTATCTTGGGCTCTCTTGTTTGCTTTTCAGTTGCTGCGAATGTGGCTGTGGAAGGGCTTCTTCCCTGTGCGCTGTTGCCCATCCAAGCCTAATATGGTTAGTGTTCCCCACCCTCTTTCACTCCTATGTGACGTCCCACCTCTATGTATTATTGTCGGCATCCCTTTTTTCTTTGTTTGTGTACATTTTAACAGTTGGCATGCCAGTTATACACCTTAATAGAAGAACAGAATGAAACTGACTCCCAAAGGGGAATCTTAACAAGTGATTTCACAATGAATAAATTCACATGAAATAATATACAGCCTGTCATCCTTGTGTTGAGCATTCATACTTCTCTTCCAAGGCATTAACTGTGTTCCTGATTTAAATCAGGAAGTCGTGAGGTTAAAATACCTGTTTTTCATTTAACATGTCTCTATTTCTGTCATTCCATAAAGATTAGAACCATATCATACATGGAAGTAGCATGCTACTTCTGTCAAGGTGAAGTCACCTTTTCTGTCTCTTGGTACCATGGAATGACCATAACATAACTGAATTCTTCTATTTTCATAATTGTTGTGAACTCGTATGGCATCAGAGAATAGAACCGTGTTTAAGTGTTTTACTTATTAGTTTTAAGCTTGAATTTTTTATATACTAGAAGTGATATACTTAATTTGATATCAGTTATATAAAGTATGCATACTTTAAGGATTAGTGTCCAAATGGGATATCCTGAAGTATTTACAAATGCAAATTCTAAATATGTATCCAGGTTATAGCTATAAATTGTAGGCTGGAACATAAGACCAGAGAACTTTGTTCACAGATTCAGAGGGACTCCTGCACACTAGTGAACAACCTTGTAAGAACTGAAATACTTCAGATAATTTATTTCTAGATTAGAGTTCAAATCTGTGTGCTATGGTATCAAGTTGTTATTTATAGTCAAAATATGCCAAGAAAAGGTATTCAGAAATGCATTTTAGAGAATTATAGGGTTTCCTTGGGGCATTTAAAATTGTTACTTGTATGCTCTAGGCGTGAATTAATGTCTGTTGATTGAAAAACCTGCAGTATGAATGGATCCGCACACATGTGCGGGTATGAGGAAATGCTGTAATGCATACAAAGATCTGAGAAAACAGAGCGTCAACAAACACAGATATATTAAAGTATGTTTTTCTCAGCACTTTGAAATTTCTGTATTTGAAAAAAAGGTGAAGTTACTATGAAAATGCACATTGGTTCTGAATTATTTAATTTACCCAGGAAATTCTTATTTGATACTGTGAATTTAATGATAAACCAACAAAATCCCCAAATTTGCTAATGCTAAAGTATAACATAAATAGCTGTACACTGTGAATTTTTTCTATGCTAAAGTACTTGAGTCTGGAGTATACTGTTATAAGAGATAGATCATCAGTAGAGCAGAATAGACAGAATTTTTACCCTGGGGTAAAAAAAAAGATTGACATCCAGATAGATCTTGAAGTAAATGTGAAAGATTATCTAATGAACACATATGAAGTCATGATTTAGAAATTATTGGCAAAAGGCAACTTTAGCCAGACTTAAAATGCTTAATTTTAAAAACTATCATTTTTCTACTGTGTAGTTGGCTTCAAGGGGTTTATAAAACAAAGGAGGAAAACTAGGAAGGCAGGACACTTCCTTCACAGAGAACACACTAGGAAACATAAGACAAAATCATTTTCCTAATATCTTCAAATAATGTTAGTAATTATGGAGGCAGTGAGAGCCTGTATGGGTGTGTATGTGTGTGTTTGCACCACAATAAAAAAAAGAAAAAAATAGCCATTAATGTGTTTAGGTACCCAATCAATGGTAACAGTTTTTGTGGACAGATTTATGGAGTAGCCAGAGTTTTTAATGCATTTTAGTATAATACAAAACAAAATGTAAGACTATACTTTCAGGGATCATTTCTATAATTCGTTACAAAACAAAATGTAACAGGAGATTAGAAACAAACTTTAATTGAGATTATATAAATTAGAAGTAAGAAAGTTATTCACAGTTATTACTGGGGAAGAATGGAAGCTAAGAAAATCTTTATTGCTACACTTTCTGAACTTCCCCTTTGTAATTGCAAGCCACTATGAGGTTTTAATTAAAGACACTGTCTGCTTAATCTAAAGGCTTTAATGTAAACCCTGTGAGAGAAAACAACCTAATAGTAGAAATTAAGGGTAAGAATAAATTCCTAGTAGAGTCAGCAAAATAGAGTCAGATGTCCTGACATGATATCTTGTCACATAATTTTGTATGTAAAATCATAGCAACATGTCAATTACCACATAAATAGTTCCCAAAACACAGTCTATCATCATCATTGGTAAACAGACATATTTACAATCATAAAGCAGGAATCATTATATATTTTTAAATTTTGGAATCTTTTGTCTTTCACTTCATGAAAGACTACTCATGAATATTTATTTGGTTAGTTTTGACCTTAATATAATGCAGTATATATACATGAAAATTACCCATTGTAATCATACACGATACACCTTGTGGAAATTTGATGGTCTGAAAAGCATTGTTTTGAAATTATTGATCAGATATTTGGTTCTTCAATGCAAGTTTGCTCTGTTACTTTTTTAATGTATGCTGTGCCATTCATTTGTATTGGTAGTTGCATGACGCCACCCTTGATCTTGAATTACTTTTCATCACTGCACTCATCCACTTTGTTGTGCCGTCTGTGCACGTGCTACACGCAGTGGTAACATTTCAAGTGTTTCTCCTGCATTGACTGATATTTGCTCAGGGATGGAAGATCTTTCTGCAACAGTTCTGCATGAAGCACAAATGCCAGATTCCAGGCACCCTATGCCTAAGAGTGCCTCCATTATTAGCAGAGGTGTTTTTTGTTAGTGACCTTTATACCATTACAACTGGCTTGAGACTCTAATCATTGTCTCAATTCAAAAGATGTCTATTTTTATAAACATGTGGTGTTAAATAGATTGTTCTTAATGTAAGATATCAATGTGTGTAATTTCAAATACAACATTTATAAATTATATAATTTTCCCTTGGTATATATTTGTGTTTATAATTACAGAAACTAATATGTATATTTATAGAACAATAATTATTATAAAGTCAATCAGAAATATACCAAAGTAGTTTTCTTGCATTTTTTTGTCAGACTAGTTTCTTTCCTTATAAGTGTTTATGTTTTGTAGTATTTTCATATTACTGCTTCTTATGGGTCTAAAAAGCAAGAAAAAAATGGGTTCACTTTTTGAAAGTAAAGATACTATGTTCTTAACTTGTTAATTTACCTAGATTGTGATTTTAGGAAATCACCTCATATTTTTAGAATTAAAAAAATTAAATCAGAGACATAATGGATGAAATCTATCTTCTAATGAAGACATTAAAATTAAAAAAATAATTCTGACAGAAAGTATCAGAAAACATTAACCGTTATCCTATTTTTTAAATGAACCATATTTCTTCTTCTGTATTAACTGAAAGTTTTTTAAAATTTGTAGTGGGCACATCTTTATTTTTACACACACTTAACACAACTTATTTCATTCATCTTCATACAATTTCTGTTGGAGAGTTATGTAGAAGCACTATTTTACTTTATAGAACTAGGTAAAATATATACAAAATGAAGTCATATGTTTCTAATAATTCTAGATCTTATTTAAAGTTCTCATAGCAAGCAGATGTGAGATTTACCTACTGTATATAGAATATATATTAAATTCCAGTTGAAGTCTTGCTTTGTAAGCTACTCTATAATTATTTTTCTAGGGAATCCTAGACTACTGTAATTTAGATATAGAATGTTCACATCATGAAATAGTTTAAAAATTAATAAAAATGTGTTACTCTAGCATTAAAACAAAATTTAATGAAAACTGGAAGACAATCCACACATATAATAATTTATAAACGTGTATTTATATTAAATTTCTAAGTCAGTTGAAATACAACTCAATATTGAAAAGTCTATAATTCATCTTTCAGTTTATTGAATTATTTAAAATTATTCATCTTCCTATTATTGCGAATTCCAAAAAGATTTGAATAGTTTTTTAATGAACAATTGACAAATTCATATATGCTGCACTGTTTTGGAAGGTGTTATTTCTAGAGTGCTATTTTCTTTGTCTTTTAGACTATACAAATAACAAATGATATTTAAGGAATAAAATAAGTTAACTTCCCACATTACCCTTCAGCATCAAATAATTAGAATCCTTGATAGAATGTGAGATGGCTACATGATAGTCTATGTCCTCCTTTTATGTTATAATTATCATTGCAATCTCATATTCAAGAAGGGTACATTTTTCCCTTGAGAAGTATATTTGAGAATTTTCAGTAAACAATAGCAGATCATTTGTGTTTTTTGTGTAACTTTCATATGTAAGGAACTCAGAATCCCAGTGCTTGTATATACAAATGAGGACTATATGAATGAGTGTCTTAAGGTCCTACTTGTAAGGCAGCCTAATATCATCAGAGGTCCCATTTTACTGCATTCTCACTGACATTCCTAGTAAAGATTGCGGTCCTGTAAAATAAAACACTCTATTTTCAGTATTTATTACATACATTAATAAACTAATGTCCATATACTTCTTTATTTTATGAGGCTGAGTTAGCTGAGTTTTTATTTAAACTATCTTTGCTCAGTTGAAGAGAATCCTGAAGTGAAAAAGTTAACCTATTTCCCAAAATGTTATAACTTATTTTTTCAAGATTCCAACAATAAAATGCTTAAATCCAGCACTGTGCAGTGGTTGAGATCATTACTAAGTTAAAACAAGACAGAGTCCATACATGGAGAAATGTGTTTTTTTAAGTAACTAAAATGACAAGGGCCTTTCATTTTCCAGAAGGAAAATATATCTACTATAATTTTCACTTCAAGTTGCCGCCATGTGAGTTTGCTTGTTTGTTTTAAAGTATAAGGAAAGTCTTAATCATTCTGGAAAACAGAGGAACATTCCACATATGAGTATTTCTTATCTAGTGACTACTTATTTTCACTATTTTAAAGAAATAAAAAACATAACCACTCCTTCTCCCACCAACTCACCCCTCCCAACCTTATTTAGAATTAAGGTAAAAAAAGCTTATATCCAGTTTTTATTTCTGTAGACTAAAGCAATTCTGTGGAAGCTATGGTTGGGCAAGGATCTACAGTCTCCTCTGGCTGTTTCATTCACTCACCTCTCCCCCAGGCTGTGAGGCTGCCATTTAGTAAATTACTGATTCTGTGCATCACTTTGTGCTCTGGAGGGCTTGACATTATACCTTAAATTAATTATCAAATCCTTAATTTATGTCCAAGAACTAAATTACTCATTACAATATTCATCTCTACATAAACATTATTGTTTACCATTTCATGTATAAAGGGAATTACACATATCCAAATTTAGAATGTTACAATTGAGGCCTGGATTTTAAGATCAGGATTAATACCACCCAGGATGTGTTATTCAAATTCTTCGGATAGATGTAAGAGGAAATAGATTTCTAAATTACCTATAATGTAATTGCTATATTTATATCTTAAGTCTCTCTCCAGGACCTCTTAGTAAATATTAATGAATTTGAATTACACCTATGTTTTATATGATTTCTCATGTTCATCTCTAGTACTAAAAATAAAACAACACTGTTTTCTAGAAGAAAATGAGTATAAAGGACTAGAAGATGATTTCTCTGATTACAAACACTATGGATATTTTTAGTACAATGATATCAAAGCTCATTCAAACTGTGCTATAAAACAAAATGAAGAAATGCTTTCCTTTCCATTCAGGAAAAAAATGGTTCTAGAAGGTAGGAGGTATAATCTATGCATAGAATGACATGTTTATTGACTCTGTCTGATGGGTTAAAATTATGCATCTGGACCACGTACAGAAGGTCACACTGAATGAACAGGCTCCTGCAATGCTTTGTTAACGAGGCTGAACCACTGCTTGAATGCCAGTCTCTGCCAGCGGCACTTTCACTTGATACTGTGGAAGCTTGTTTTAATGATACACTCGGGAAGGGGGGATTCCAGAACTTAATCGTATATGTTAATATGACATGCAACTGTGTATGCTATAGTGCTCCACATATGCCCATAGTCAAAAGTAACTCTATAGCCCTCCCGAATCTCACCCTAGGTATTAAAATGTTAACCACTCCTTACCAAGGTACTCCCAAGTAATGTTTTAGATGAGATCCAAAGTTTTATTTCCATTTTCATGTGAGGAATTTGCATACAATTTAACTGTGTATAAGGCTTACTTAAGGATAAGGGCTATTTGAGGAAACATGTTTGAAAGCTTAATATTTTTTGAACTTAAAATTGACATAAATTTTTCTCTCTTAACTAAATTTACTGGGGTAACATTGGTTAATGAGATTATCTAGGTTTCAAGTGTGCAGTTTTATGATACATTACCTATATATCACATTGAGTGCCCATCTTCCTAAAGCCTTCTTCTGCCACCAGATATTTGGTCCTCTTTATCCTTCACTATGTCCCCCGCTTCCTTCTTGTAACCACCATACTATTGACCACGTCTATGAGTTTTTGGGTTGTTGTTTGTTTACTTGTTCATCTTTGCTTTCAGTTTTATGTCTCACACATGAGTGAAACCATATGGTTCTTAACTTTTGCTCAGCATTATATTCTGAAGATCCATCATGTTTTTGCATTTAGCAGTATTTCATTTTTTCTTAGGGCTGAGCAGTGTTCCATTAACTTCTGGGGAAAAGGGGAAAATTATTTTTCAATTGCAACAAAAAGAATAAAATAGGAATAAACTTAACAAAGGATGGGAAGGACCTATATACTCAAAACTATTCAGCACTAATGATATTGAGAAAGACACAATGAAATGAAGAGATATTTCTTGTTCATAGATTGGAAGAATCGACACATTTAAAATGTATACATTGCCCAGAGCAATACAGGGATTTAATACAGTGTCCATCAAAATTCCAATGACATTTAAAAAAATAGAACAAAAAATCATTGGACATTTGTTTTTTAATGTAAACTGCAGGAACAAATTTACTTCTTAGGACTCTTTGCTCTTCCCTTTAGCAAGTTTTTTTTGTCACTATTAACAACACAGATCTAAGAATGATTTCAAACAACTGTATTTAGAACATTGGTAAAAATAAAGCTATCAATAACTTTACTGTAGGGGACATACATAAAGATTGAAAGAAAAAAATTTTTAAAAAGAGCAATATGTCAGAATAACAAATGTCAACTTGGATAGAACAAATGTGATTGCAGTAAACTTTATTTGTTTTCTTTCCATTGCACTGTGGTGAGGTGTTTGTGTATTGTTCTTCGCTGAAGAACACTATATATGCTAAGTATATGACTCATATTATTTCAGATTTACTCAAATTTTCTAGCATACTTTACTAATAAATTGCCAGTTCTAATTTATGATGATAAAATGAAGATAAATTTTTTCAAAGATGGAACAAGGCTGGTTGTGTTATCTGTTTTGTATAATATGTATATAATTATCCACTAAGAAATTATATAGAAAAATGAGTTTTATTTTCATACCAAATATACATATATTTTAAAACAATGTAGAATATGCAACTAAGGACCAATCTTCATTAGTACATGTCAACGGGACATGTTATTAATCACATAGTAGTTTTCAATCAATTTTGTAATGAAAGTATTTTGTCAGTCTATCATTTTGTCTGTATTTCTTTATACAGAAATAAATGGAAATTTTGTAGTTAATAAACTAAATTTTGTTGTGATAGCTTATGGACAGTAATTTCACTTCCTTTGAGCTTTACTAAAAATAATCTAAATATTTTTATTTCAGTCAGCTATTTTTATGTTATGTGGTTAATTATGGTGTACCATATCATTTTAGTATTCATCAGTGTATTTCTTCTGCAAACACTTGTCACTGTATAGAGACAATTGAAATAGCATTTACTCATTCATTTGTTCATTCATCAATGTGAAAAATATGTTTAATGTCAACTCTGAGTCAGGCAATATACTACTTCAGAAATTTACAGATAGATGCTAGTTGCTGTCATTTAAGAACTGACAAGTAGCAAGACATCCAAAAGCATATTTAAATGACTACATTGCATTATAAAATGGAAATAATACCATTACAGGGGTACAAAAAGTTAGAGAGTTCAGAGGGTCAAAGATTGTGTTAAATTGTGGTATCAGAAAAAAAAAACATACTTGCCAAAATTGAAGTGAAAATTATTAGAAATAACATGCTAGGTTCAGTATTTTCAAATGTATGAAACATGGAGAAATATCTTGAAGTCTCATTTAGCATACTTGAAGATAACAGTTGGAGATGATGTAAGAAATGTTCATTAGAGCTACATTTAGGAATCTTTATTATTTTATTGAAGACTTTGACGAAGATAGCTACACAATATAATGTTATTGACAGTAATTTGGCATCAGCCATGTCTACTCCAGTTTGGGAAAGCAGTTAAACAGAGCAGGAGCATCAGTTCAGAGACACTATAATAGTAACCCACCTGAAAAATAACGAGACCTTAATTGAAGAAGAAATAGAGTTAATGAGAAGGAAAAGATGGATTATAAGACATTTATGTTACGTAATACTTGGGATTTGGCAACTAATTTGTTGTAAGGCCAAAGAGAACAGGGCTTTGATATTAAGGGACCGAGGCCATCACAGTGTTTTTAACAGGAAAAGAAGGTGACAGATTAAGATGAAAAGTAAAGAGAAATATATTGATTTCTGTTTCAGATCTTTGAGTTTGAATGCCAGTGAATAACCCTATAAAATAAATCTATAAGAAATACGAGTATAAAGTTCAAAAGAAGTCAACTAGATGTATTAGATGAAATTAATTAAATGGATGGAAATGGATGGGTTGAGGGGAGAAAATCAGAGAAGTTCATGCAGAGGATCTACGGACATAGTGAAGAAAGGAGCAAAAATTATCAAAAAAGAAGTGGTCAGGGATTTTCAGTAAATCATGAATGATTAAAAGCTAATAAAAATCCTTGGATTTAGATATGACTATGTCATGAGTGAACCATTGAGGGACAGCTTTTTGAAGCAATAAAAGCAGGTTAAAAGAACTTGCAAATTAGGGAGTAGTTGAGAAAAACAGGAGAGGCTAAGATTTGGAGAGTGGAGCTTAGAGGGAGTTCAGGTTGTGGTCCATTTGATAGTGATCTCAGTGGATGAGAGTGGAAAAGAGCCAGTGTCAGGTAACTAAGGATTCCAAAACAGGAGAAAACAACAGATACAGAGTAAGGGGCTGAAGGTGGGAGATTAATGGATCAGAATCATTTTGGGCAGTTCATCCTGCAAAGGGTCAGTGGCTCCTAAGCTGCCAAAAATACAAAAGGGAAAGTGGAACCAGAAAAATTATCTGTTGTAAGAGGTCTGCTGAAGAAAAGTTTAAAAAATGGGTTCAAATGCATTCAAAGTTCTCAGTGCAACATGTGAAAGAGTGAAGGATATTGGTTAGAATAATGCTACTCAAAGGAGTGTTGCTGTTATTTTATAATACTGTATAAAAATCAGTTAGGGTTGCAGTCATTTCAATTGCATTTCATGCTTCCCGGCTTGATGTAATTCACCATTTGGAGATGGGACTAATGGTAGTTAACTCTGTTCCAGGCGGTGTGGTTACAGCAAAGCAAAGCAAGACCCAGAAGAGGAAAAGATGCATTTTCATAATGGGCACAGTAAGCAAATTGTAAAAAAAACTCAAAGGAACACAAACTGGGGGAGACGTTGTTTTGGTTTCATTTCAGACAAGATTTCTACCAAAATGTGTCCAAAATGTGTTTTGTTATATTCCTGGAAAACATAAGAGCTTGGGACACTGCAAGCTAACCCTAGGCAACAGAGAGATGGTTTATTCAGTATTTTACTTTCTACTTTCATTGTGATCATTAAAATAAAGTTGTTTGCTTAATGTAAAGTGATTATTTTTTAAACCAAATCCCCAAGCCAATTCTAATTGCTACCAACACTTTCAGTAGAAATCTATTTTTAAATAACATCACCAGATTATAGGAATGAAATTTCACAGTATTTTTTTCTTTTTCTATCATTATAGCAGGAATTTTCCTGAGCAGAGCCTATCTATAGCAGCAACCTTGGTTCGAATGACTTGAAAAATTCTAAACTTCTAAGAAATGCAGAAAATCAAGTTTTGACAATGACCCTTAAAAATTAGTAAATGATTTCTTATTAATGATATTTTAATGTTTATTCATCATTAATATTATAGTACGAGTTGTTTTGTCAAGTAAATGACAAAAAGAGTTTCTTTTATTGTTGTTACTCTGCCACAATCACAACGATTAAAATCATTAAAGTCATGAGTCATGTTATAAAACATTAAGTCTATTTTCATAACATTATGTTATTTAATGTAATTTATCCTCAATAACACTGTGACGGTCAAATTGTTTGCTTTAAATGTGATGAAGGCTTATAGAACAGAAGGGTCCATTCAGTAGCACAGATGGAGTGAGAAGTAAAGCTCTTTCTCATTTTTTTAGCTTCTTTATAAGTCTTATTAAAACAAAGCACCTAAAAGGTTATTTTAAATTATTTTTAACTTAATCTTTATTGCATTTTTTCTATTACCACTTAGTCCCCTTATATCCCTCTCCCCCCAGCAAGAACCACACTGCTGTCTATGTCGATGAGTCCCAAAATTAATCATTTTTTATGATAATTTAGGTGAAACACAGACTAACAAACCAACACATAAACCACTAATATTTCATTGTCCAGGTTAGTGAACAAAACTGTCTTAGTTTGCCTTAGATACTAACTCTGTGAACATTAGTATTGAAAAATGTATTTATGTGTTGGTATATATGTTGGTATATATATATATATCTTGTATATGCCAACCATCCAGATTTCTAAAATGATAAAAGCCATATAGCTGAACAAATAAGCCTCATAATTCAGAGAGGGTCTGTCCTTACAATTTAGCCACTTATAGGTATTAGGGATTTAAGCCACAGTTGCATGTTAATGATGTCTTTTTCTTGTACTCTGGACTTCAAAAACAATTTTATTTAGTATTTTTTACTTTGTTTTTATTATTTCACTATTGCAAATGTCCCCATTTCCCCCCTTTTGCCTGCCACCCTCATTCTTTGCCCCCACTTCCCTTTGGCCATCACCACACCATTGTTTGTGTCTTGGGCTATGAACATACGTTCTTTGGCAAATCCTTTCACCCTCTTTCATCCCATCCCTCCGGTCTCTTCCCTCTCAGCATTTCCCATCTGTTCCATGTATCTATGCCTTCGCTCCTATTTTGTTTGTCAGTTTATTTTGTCCATTATATTCCACATATAAATGATCACATGGTATTTGCTTTCACCAACTGGCTTATTTTACTTAGCATAATAACGTTTACAGCTTCACTCATTCATCACAGGCACATCTATTTTAATCCTCATTTATTTTTACAGTTAAACTGCCGGGAGTAAGAACATACATTGATCCACACACCTATGAGGATCCCAATCAAGCTGTCCATGAATTTGCCAAGGAGATAGAAGCTTCCTGCATTACCATTGAAAGAGTTATTGGAGCAGGTACCACAATGTGTTTAACTGGGACTTTTAACTTGAGTTTAATAATAGAATGCAATATGTCAATGCCCTTATCTAATATAGAAAGTTTCTAATCTTTTCTAACTGACTCACTTCCAAAGTGGTATATAACTGATCCTATTTTAATGCTACATTCTGCGTAGTCCACACTTCAACCAGTATATGTCTAGTTTATGAAATAAAAAATAAACCAGTAAATAAATATATATATAGTACTCATGGTGTTTTTCTATCTACTGTTCATTTATACACACACATATATATATATAATTTCTAATGCCCAAAATACTTAATTCAAGCACACAGGTGTTATGAATCATTTCTTACCTTCAATTGTTTCCTTTTTATCCTGTTACAGCCTTTTCCCCCTTTCTCTTCTCATTAATGTCACTGCTAGAGTAGAAAAAGGAGGAAGAAAGAAATTATTTAAGTCAGTTGCATTCAATTTCCTTGAAACATTTCCGTTAAGGGTTTTGTAGGTGAGACAGATGAAGCCAATAACCTCGGAGTGTTTTAGATGATTTTTCTACACCTGTAGATGATTTTTCCCAGGGCACCATTTATTTCTATTAACACTGATACAAAGTTTGAACTTCCTTTTAACTCCGTTTCATCTACACCTTGAAATTCTATGAGTGTTTTATATTATTATTAGAGTAAGGATTTCAAATGATTTTATGTATTTTTTTCCATCTTTGTCACAAGGTGAATTTGGTGAAGTTTGTAGTGGGCGTTTGAAACTTCCAGGAAAAAGAGAATTACCTGTGGCGATCAAAACCCTTAAAGTAGGCTACACTGAAAAACAGCGTAGAGATTTCCTGGGTGAGGCCAGCATCATGGGGCAGTTTGATCATCCTAACATCATTCACTTAGAAGGTGTAGTGACCAAAAGTAAGTACAATGGCATATAATGTATGAGTGTGTATGTGTATCATGGGTGTGTAAAGTAGCCTAATATTAATGTGCATAATATTAGGTTATTATGAATTTCAGGGAACGATAGTAATGGTATTAATAGTTTATCTTCTATAAATATTTGTTGCCCTGTATTGTAGTAGATTTTGGTCAAAACCGATCTTAAAATGAGCCTGTATTTCTATGTATTTTTTTCAATACACAGATTAACTAATTTACTATTAATTCAGCACTGGAGAAAATGTATCTAGATAAAAGAAGCAGTAAAGGTACCAAATTATTTTTTCTCCTGTTCCTTTCACTTTTTGTTCTACTGAAATACTAACTTCAAAGTTCTAATTAAGGCATTGAAGTTTAACATTTAATAGTATTACTATAACTATAGGTTCCCAGGCTTTTTAAGAATCCTTTAAGTAGTTTTTACATCCAGAAGTGTCTTTTATTCATATTTTTTCATTGCAGTATTTTTATAGTTCTAAGGACAGTGACAGTCTCAGGAGACTATGAAACTTCCTTGAGAGTAATTATTTTGTCAAAGCGAATCAAATTTTTATTCAGAAATATCTAGAATTTCACATTACTTTTAAATTTGTACTGGTGCACTGTAAATGTAGTTTTGTGGTGAGCTTCTCAATATAAGGATTTGAAATAAGTCTTCAGTCATCCAATAAAATATTTATGGGGCATATAGCTGGAGCCTTTATGTTCTTTTAACCTATTTTTTTTCCTTGCCATTTCTATTTATTCTCATTCCTGTCTTTTTTCTTCATGACCTGCATATCACTTACTAAATCATATTGTTCCTTGTCAAGGAACATTCTTTAGACTTTCTTTAAAGCATTTGTCAAAATTTCAGCTCCTATTAATAACATTTTCAGTTATATAAGTCAAATATTCATAGCAGTAATGGGTATTCAATAAATGTTCTCAACTGACAAAGTATTTTTTTAATTAATTAGCTATCCATTTATTCTATTTAGCTTTTAAAAATGGGAAACAAAACAAGACAACATTTTTTCACAATAAGTAGGGACAGAAGAGGCAAAATATAATGTGTATTTAGTACATAAAAAGTTAATTCCCAAATCATAATTCATTCACAGTAGGTCACAAATGAGAGTGCAGTAGTTTTCTCACAAGTTTGAGAAAAAGACCAGAGGAAAAAGTATCACATTGATGACTGGTTGAATTTTTGAATGAGTCTGTATTGCTGTGAGTGTGTTTTTCTCTGTCTCAAGGAATTATCCACAACCTGTAAGACATGTGAATTTATTTGAAACTTAGAGGTTTCTTCACCCAGTTGAGTACTCATCCATACTTTATCACCCCCTTGACAGAAACCCAGAGGGAATATGGTTGAAACAAGAAGAACATCCTGAGGTCTCAGGGGAATAAACAAGTTGTTAAAGAAAGGTGGGAGGCGGAGACAAGTGAGAGGCATATGGGGGCAAGAAGAACATATATTTTTAAAGTAATAAGATGAAAAATTATTTTATAAATATGTACAGTGTAAATTAACAGACATGGGTATTTGAAATAAAACTAAGGCATGAAGATGGTCATGACAATTTGACTTTGACATTAGTCTGTCTGATAGTCTTATCTCCTACCAAGGGAAAGACCTTGAAAGGACATCAGTGAGGGCCTATGGTGCAAGATAAGATAGGAGCAAGAATCATAACAGGGCTTAGTATCATTTCCTATGAAGGAATGGTCTTATCTATTGATTATATAACCCATAGCTCTTAATGATAGTCATAGTAATAATAGCATGCAAATATTTAAAAAGTTTCATGTCTTTATTTCATCTTTAATATGACTGTTAAATGTAACTTCATCAAAATAATTTCTGACCATCATTTCCTATTACCCTGGGCAAATGCAAAGCTCCTTAGAGCAAATCTGCCATCTTGAAATGAGTTAATGCCACATTTAGGACTGTTCCAGATTACTACTATTATCATGGAACCAATATTGTGTAACGGTCAAGAATATGAACTAGGGATCTAGCCATCTGCTTTTACTTTGGTTCTACCATAAGCTACTATGTGACTACACAAGTTCATTAGACATTCAACAATCTTAGTTTCTTCATCATTGACATGGAGTAAGAATTCCTCATGCCGCGTTGCAAAGGTGACATGAACACAGGTAGAATGTAATATGTGCATGGCACAGCATAGGTAATTAATAATTATATAAGTATTACTTTTTCATTTATCTCTATTATGCTATAAATTCCTCCATATCCATTTCATTCTTAGTCCATTTTAATGTACCTTATATTTTGTTCTATAATTACTGAGCATACCCTGGGGGGTGGAAATAAACTATTAATGAGTGAACACCCTCTCTCCCGGGGTTCCCCTGTACTAGGTTCACCTCACCTGCTGCCAGGGAATTATAGTTGTCAAAGCCAGAGATTATTTATTCAAAAGATATACAGACTTAAGAGTAATGGCTTAATATCTTTATTAAATCACAAGATCCCTTAATACACCCACACACACACACCGTCCTTCCCCCCCTGCTTTGCCCAGTCTGGGGTGCCATATCTCAGGAAAAGAAATAGAAGTCCATGCCTCAGGTAGCCCCTGGTTCTTCCCAGTCATCCGTGCCCAGCTGGCAGGCTCTCTTCGGTTTCCAGCACCATCATCTGTGTTGCCAGAATCTCCAGTTCTTAATCCAAACCCACATGGCACCTTCTCCTGGCCCACCAGCACAAGTCCCTTCACCCCTTTCCTCCCCACAGCATCTTTCCTGCATTCTTCCAAACTGCTAACAGAGAGCTCTGTACCACTCCAACATCTTTCTTTCCAGCTTCCTAAGCTGCTTGGCAAAGTATGCCCCAAAGCTACATGGTTCCAAACTTTTCATGGCTGCCACGCTTGGGTTTAAATCCCAATGCCAGTCTTCCTCCGCAGCCCTATTTCTGACTCCTCCCACAATCCGCTACTCTTGCCAGCATTTCTGTATGTTTCCATCTTTTCTAGGCTGCCATGGTGAGTCCAGGCAGGTGTGGCCCCATGTCAGGGAGCAAATCATCTCCAAGCTTTCACACAGGCACTGTAACCAGGGGGAGTTGCGTCCCAGTTAGGTCATGGATTGAAGTCACTCTCATCTCCCTGGCTCAAAGCATGACTACAGTTATTTAACATATCCACGAAAAGTTATAGATTTGTTAAATGACCGTGCCTGAGATTAGTTGCAAAACTGTTGCTAGGCAAAATGGCTCTCAATGGCCCTGCTGTGTGTGTCCCATCCCCCAGTTCAGACCTGCGAGGTGAGGGGAGGACATCCCATATTTTTAATATTTCCTGGACATACTGAGTTCTGGACCCCATTACAAATTCCTCTTTGTGGGATGACCCCTGGCTCTACCATGTTACACTATCTACATTGCCTCTTCATATAAAACTGACACTTCTATATTCACCACTTTTTAAATTACTTCAAAACTGTATTAAATTTCATTACTTCCATGAAATATCCATCATCATTTTACCCTGAGGTAATATTTTCTTCTTTTGAACACTTTACCAATGAAATGATTTTTGCATTTGTCTATAATGTTGCTTCATTTCCTCCCAAACTCTTATTCACATGTTCCACTTATTTTTAATTCTTTGGCTTAAAAAAATCTTCTCCCTAAGATCACAAGTCATGTCACAAAAATTTTTGTAAATCTATTATACTTAAATCTAAACCAATTTATAACCACCTTATTTAAACACTTTTAACCTTAATGTGGTTGGTAATTAGTAGTTCAGACATGGACAAGTTCAAGTTGAGATCCCTATACACATCCAATTGCATGTGTGTGTACAAAATTGCAGGCAATTATAGTAGCAAATATGTATTTATTTCCATCTTTTTTAAGTCAATGAATCAGATACTAGTGGATAAAACCCACAATTTATTAGAACTAATATTTACCTACTTTTATAAACCCCTTATTTATTATTGAATTTATATAAATGGAACATGACTCATATAAACTAAAGGAATTAATCTTCTCAGGAAAAAAAACAACCAAAATTGTCACATAATTTATATTCACACGAAACATTTATTTATAGAAGCAAGTATCAATATCAACAAGTGATATTTAAATTTTGTGAATGCTAGTCTAAAAATGGTACTGTAGTTGGAAATACAATTTTATTTTATTTTTTAAATACTTTATGTACAAAGAGAGGGGAAGGGAGGGAGAAAGAGAGGGAGAGAAGAATCAATGTGTGGCTGCTTTTTGTGTGCTCCCCGCTGGGGACCTGGCGTGCAACCCAGGCATGTGCTCTGACTGGGAATCGAGCCAGGGACCGTTTTGTTTGCAGGCTGGCACTCAGTCCACTGAGCCACACCAGCAAGGGTGGAAATACAATTTTAAATGCCCAATCTTCTATGTGATGTTGATGTCATGAGGTCGTACATATAGGTAAAGCACAATGTAAATATTTTAAATATTTCTATGTCTTTAATTTTTGCTTTGTATGAATTGAAATTGTATTTCCTCTGAATGAATGTAGCTCTTGATATTCAACTTAGGAAGTCTTCAGCCTGTTTTTAACTTACCATGTTGCAACACACTTTATTTGCGTCCTTAATTTCATGCTTTCTTATTTGATGCTAATTTGGTCAGCAATAATTCTCAACCTGCAGCACATGGGTAATGAGACCTAAACACAACTCAATCTTGTGATTTTTCTGACTGAAGCTGAGGTGTGGAGCCTTAACTAACAGTCCTGTGGATGGTGCCATCATGAACCCTCATCTGTCCTGTATCACTGCCCTGTGCACCACAACTGTGGGCCTTGGTTCAGATTCCCTCTGTGTTTTGTTGTTAAATAGGACATGGGATCAATAGACACATATTCTGGAGAGGCTTCATGGTACACGGTGTAAAAAAAAACCCACAGGTCTTAGATTAATTGATTCATTGGCAATGCAATATGCCTTAATACAATATACACAGTGCC